TAAAGGAGGAGGATCTGTGTTACGGTAAAAAAATTTTAGTTTTTAGACGATTCGTGTAACTCCAACGACCGGCCATTTTTATATACCTTATTTTACCTAATACTAACACTAACACCACTAACATTGACACTAAAATAAATTTTAATAGGATAAGATTAAATTATTGTCACAAAATTATATGTGTATTTCAAATTCTAAAGTGATTTTATTAAAGTATCTTAATTATGGTACAAATCATGATGACTCTTTTGATCCAACTTCAAAATTAAATCCGGTACTGTACAAATTACTTTATTCCTTATAAATGCCATTATGTCAAATTGGAGATGTATACTCAGAGACACATATATTTCGTCAAGCTGATTGTAAAAATTGCATATTTAAATATATTAATGCTATAGCTATGATAATACGTATAGGTACAATTAATGTTTCATGTAATAAATGAAACTAGCAATAGTGATTTTTACACGCAAAACATTGAAGTATGAACCTGCTCTGACGTTTATGTTTAATTCAAGTATTTAGATCAATATACGCAAAGAATTTAAATTTTGTTCATTTTAGAATTGTAAATTATGTTGAAAATTAAATAATAATTTGATATAAAAAATATCAGTCCTAAAATGGTTCAATAAATTTAATATTAATTTTATTGTCTTAAAATATATATAATAAATATTATAATAATCAATTTCTAATATTTTTTAACCATTTTAATAATTTTAATTGAATTGCTATTGCAAACTCTAATATAATTTATTTGCTTTAATTAACTTCCTGATTTACTCGAATTTAAATTTGGGTGTTTCAAATCCCAATTTTTCTCAATTTAAATTAAAGCAATTTTTAATTTTGGCAGATCTTCAAACTTGGGGGGGTGTATTGGAATTGATCAGTTCAGTTTTACTTTAAATATGAAACCTTCAATTCATTACTTTGCCTATTATTGGGATGGTATACAAAAAAATATCAAGAATTTATTAAATCAGATTAGTTGAGATTAGCAACGTTATTGCCTACATAAATTTTTTTTTTTTTACGATGACATCTAAGATAAAGTAATAGTAAATTGACTCTTTATTTAAAAAGAAATATTTAGTAAAGAATTTAAAGAAATTTCTTTTTAATAAAGTTTTTAATTTTTAATTTAAGAAAATCCGAAAACGTTACTAAATCTACATAAAATTTTCCTTATTTGTATTTTTCAAAGTTCTTTTTATTCCACCGACTTCATTTCGCTTATTTAAAAAGATACCTAGCCACTTGAAATTTGGCATATGTCAAAGAGTTGATCGCCTTTTTGAAAATCTTTGATATATATATTTCAATTAAATGAATTAATTTTCATTATCGGATTTCATTAATCTGCAAAATGACCGGCAACAACTATTTCGAAAATGGAATAGCCATGTTTGAAATTACAGTATATTGAGCATTTTCAATTTGAGTAAATATTAATTACTGTATTTTTTTTTAAAACATTTTCTGTCCTAATATTTTTTGTTAAAAAATTTACTTGAAATGATGAATGCAATAATTATATTTCTTTGCTTTATTTTTGTAATTCATCCTATATCATGTCAATTAATACAAGAACGTTATGATGCCACAAGCATAATCAAAGATGACATGTTGTATGTTCTGGGAGGACAGGATCAGAATGATAAACCCATATCCGAAATATTATCTCTCAATATTACCACTTCACTAAACGTAGATTCACCACCATGGTCACGGTCATTGAAAGCTCCACCATTGGCATTTGAATTAAGCGGAGCATTCCATGGCGGTGCTAATAATGATTCGATATATGTTATTTGTGGTCTGATGAATGACCCGGCTAGTGGTGCTAATATAAATAACGAACAAACGTTATTGGAATACGATACTCAAAAAGATGTGTGGACAAGAACGGCAATGGCAAGCGCTCCTCAATTGAATGGGAGAGTTAAATTTGCTCTTTTAAGTGATAATAAGGGAATGGTTTATCTTCATGGTGGTTATAATTATTATAATTACACTTACCTTGGTGATACGTATTCATTTGATATATCTTCAATCACCTGGACTCCGTTACCGTCACCTCAAACTCCAATAATTGCAGCTGACTTTGCTTCGGTATTGTTAAATGATGGACGATTGGTTATCATTGGAGGATATGAGCAGCCCGAAAATGGTACACTCGTTCACAGACCTATTAGTCAGGTAAATTATAAGAAAAGATTTATATAAAAATTGAAAGTTACTAATTTTTAGAGTATATAGCTCGATATGTTCAATACGATAGATAAAACTTGGACTAGACAAACTGTATCGCAGCCAAAAGAAATGTCAGATCATCGTAGATATCATACATCTACGCTTCGTAAGTAATTTATTATTTTTCTTTTTTTTTCATTCTTGATATCATTCACTAACTTGCTATTATTAGTTCCAAATGGTGATATTGTTATAATCGGCGGTATCGATGTGGTACCAAATGTCGTAATATTAGAAACAACAAAAAATCAATGGAGAATTCCAGTCGTTTCAGGAATTGAACCACCACTCCTTAACCAACACTGTGCAGAACTTGTCGAAAATAGATATATATTCATCATGTTTGGTATGTTTAGGATGTAATAATATTTTTATTATTATTTTTTTTTTAAAAAAAAAAAATACCCAATTTATTTTCAACTTTTTTCAGGAAAAAGAGCTGACGGTCAAAATAGCAACAAACTCTTCATACTCGATACAGAAAATTATTCATGGATTACAAGTTTTACTCCAAACACATCACTTGCATCATCATCATCATCACCACCATCATCACAATCGATCAAACGTCCAGGCCCTAAAAATAAAGTTCTACTATCCACAGTTGCATTAGTTTTCTCTATTCTTTTATTTGGTACATCTGTGTCTTTATATAAAAGACGTAAAAATCGATTGGCCAATGTTACCATACAAGCCGAGAATGTCTCAATGAGTGAAAATGTCGATTCACATACAAATATAATGGTATACCCAAATGAAGAAAGTCATAAAATTAAAGATCGAAAATTTCGGATATTTAGTAACAAATAATATGAACTTGCAATAATAATTTTGCAGGATAAAATTATTTGGAATTTAGATTTTTTTTTTTTTGATGACTAAATAAAAATCATATTTTTCATAGATTGTATTCCAAGAAATATTTTCTAAACGTACCAGCCTATATCCTAAATAGTGGATAAATTAAATAAAAAATTAAATTTTTATAAACATAATTTAATCCATCAACTTCTTCCCCAATCTTACATATCTGAGGATTGGATCTCGAAAACGAACGGTATTGGAAATCAATGAAAAGTTTATTTGTTGGGTTATGTAAAACAATGTTTTAGTTTTTAAAATACACAAAGCGAAGAAACATTAGTATACTATTAATTTATTAAAATTTTAAAGAAAGATATAATTAAAATGACCTTTTTTTTTTGTTAAATTACACCTGTGCGACAGGATTTATACGTACTCTTCACATGGTATATTAAAATTTGACTGATCAAACTTTTGGCTTACCAAATTTTAAAATTCCCATTCCATCAACGAATAATTTTCTAAAAAAATTTTAGTGTCACATAATAATAAAATAAAATCAGTTAATACTTAATATACAACATTTAGGAGATTTACCAGTTATATTTTCTTTGTAGAAGCCGTAATATACTATTATTGCATTAATTCCAAGCCTTCAGCAATAACCGTAGTATGAACAATCAGTTGAAGAATCAATAACGAATCTTGAGGGGTTTCTACTTGGAAAAGCTTAGTTAAATGAACTACGACATCCATTAATATAATAGCATATATATGATATTTTCTTAACTAATTGAGATCAATATTTCGTTCTAAATTAATACTTTCGAGAAATAATAAGGTTCATTTAAGCGAACGTCGAATAATTTACCCCTTAAGAAATTTCCATCAACAATAAAGTCTATCCAAAATATAATCAATACTACTAAACATCATAAATATGCGAACGTGCTATTAAGGCATTTTCCTTCGTCGGCTTGTTAATATCACGTTCATGTTATATAATATTTTATCTGAATTGGAGTTTTGAATCCGAAATATAGATCCAATATTATTTTCAATAATATAAAACAACTTGGTTGAGTCATTTGTCATCATATAACAAAATAAAGATTGATCTTAATGTCACATCAACAATCTTTTTGTCTTTATCAAATGTCAACAGCATAAAAGCGATTTATTATTTACTAATTTAAACAATCAAAAATTTTTACGTAAGTCATATGATTCGCATGAAAACTCCTATAATATTAGAAATCCAATTGAAAATCTTTCTTGAATCAATATAGAATATTATTCTAAACGAAAAAGGCCTAGGCGATATATTAAAAGTAGATTTCTTACTGCCTACTTTTGCAAATAGGAGGATGCCTTCTATTTGGCAATTGGATATCGATATACTGTGTGAATGATGCAGCAAATGCAGTGTAATTATATCAAACATATCGGAAATTTCAATATGCAAGTTTATCTTACATATTTATTTTATTTATTAACGGCATATTCAGCATAGTAGAATAGTCTTGTACCGAGAAAGGATATTACATGATCAAGAATTAGATGTATTTTGAAAATTTTTCATATCAGGTACGGCAGGAACAATGTTTTTTGTTAAAATCCGTGCAGGGTTTATTAAATGTGGCGAGCTACGAAAAGAAAAGAACATTTGCTTGGTCACAATTTTGTATTGGAAGTATAAGGTACGACGGGAAAGGTGTGCTCAAAAACTACTTGTCTCTTTAATAAAGGACAAAGAAGGATAACTGCAAAATTGCAATATATTGATCTTATGAATATTTTTTAAGCCTGAATCACTTACCGTATATAAAAAAAAAAAATATATAAAATGTTATCTCGATTTTCATTTTCCAAAATAACTAAAAATATGTTAATTGATTTTTGCCTATTGGCTTTGCATTATCATCGATTTACAATAAAGCTGTCGACTGTTGAATTTTTAAGCATTTTTGATTAAACTTTTATGTTGTTGTTATTATTGTTAAATACAAAAAAGAATTCTTTTAATTAAAAATTTATTGTCATGCACTTTCTTCTCGATCATCACGTCACGTTGGATAATACGATCCATTAAAATATTTCTTTCTTGGCATCCACTTCACATTCAGGGAGTGCATAATGTCCGTGACATATTAACATAACAGATGAATTACTAGATTTAGAATTTTAACATAAGGTTTATAAACTGAATTATAAAATATTTATATTAGAATCACTGAGATTTCCTCTGAAAGTCATGGCTCGCGAGGTAAATGAGCAATTATATCTTAGACTTATTGTTTAGGATATGTACAGTATATATAATTTTTTTTTAAAAAATAAGACAGTTTCATTTGCATAGACTACGTGAAATATAAAGTCTTTTTCTCTCCTTTTTCTACTGAAACTTTCCACAACCATTTTCTTATTTTTTACTATTTTTAGTAATATACATGCAAAGTAAGCTTTGTTGAATATTGTACTATCCTAGACGATATTTTGGGATAAAATGATGTGTTGTTAACCAGGTGAGTTTTGTTGAGTTTTGTACTTGCTTTAGAGAAGCTTCGGCGTAAAGAGGTTAATACCGCGTTATTACGAGGTTATGTTTACATACCGAAAGCTCCCAGATTCTAAACCATTTCCTAAAGATTTTTGCAAATGAGGAAAGTTTTTTTGAGTTTTATTTGTTTAGGTGAATCTTCGGAGATAAAAGGTTAATCCTGCGTTTTAACGAGGTCATGTTTACATACCGAATACTCACAGAGTCTTGTTCCCTAAAGATTTTTGCAATGTACCGTGATGGTAACGGGTAATAGGGTCTTAGGGCATGAGACCGGAGAAAAGCTAGCACATCAAAAGGAAGCAGTAGCATAATTTTTACCGATATCATCATGTAAGTATACTTACTTAATTAACGTCTTGTTATCCTAGCAACAGGGTGGTCGAATATCGTTAAGAGAAAGGAAACCATTCACGCCGTCATAGCACGATAGGTTTATATCTTGTCCCAAAAATGAAATTATTTCATTTAATATCACGAGTCTCGTTGGTGATGGTTCATCCCTTCTAGATAATGTAGGAGATGATGAAATTAATAAAGAAGCAAGAGAGCATGAACGGGGCATGTATAATGATTACCGGACTTATCACAACGAGTCTCAAAGCTCGGTTTTTTATTTTATTGTTAATTCTCTCTTTTCTAGCACCTTCTTTCCTTTATCATTATCTTCTACAGGGTCTGACGAAAAATAAAAGTTAATTATACCATCCAACGCAATACTCGACGTCCAGATGAATCCTTATGAGGTAGGGTTGAACTTGCACTTTAGACGCGGTCATTCGGTGAAGTTCATATAGGGCTTCTTTGCCATATGTTGAGCGATCATTGGTGAAGATACATATGGTGCTTCTTGACTTAAGTAGTTTAAACTACTGGATGTCTAGCATAAAATTTTTACAATTTGGATTATGTGTTACTATGCCTCCTACTAGACGTCATGCATAAATTCATGCTATTTGAATTCGGATGATCGTGTCTCTCTCTTTATTTAGTAGAAATTCTAAAATCGTTTTATTTGTCAGTTGTAAAATAGTATAAAGAAAAAATTTGTATAATTATTATAAAATAAAAAAAATTGTGCAATTTTCTTTTTTTGATACAGGAACAAAATAATTTAAGGCGTTATATGATAATTAGAAATATTAATAAATGAAAGTAGTTTATATTTAATTATTACCTTTTTTAACTTTATTATTTTAGACTCCTCTTTAGGCTAATAAAATAACTAGGAAACGGGAACCGCTGTTAAGTCTGGAACGATCTTAACTAAAAAAAAAATTCACACTGATATTTGCTTAATCTAGACTTTTGTGCAATTACACAATAATTGAGCGGGTGGACATCGGGATACTTTGCATAGAAATATATAGTCCTTCACTTCGTTCGGGACTAATAACTATGTAACGGAAACCGTTGGGAAGTCTGGAGTGATAAGTATGGTGATCACAAGTCAACATAAATGATTTAATCGATCAAAGGTATGCATAAAAAGACAAATGTAGTAAACAAAATCGCATCGACTCAAACAACAAGCGGGCGGACAGACTTATTAAGTTGTTTGAAATAATTTTATAAAATTTTACTTTATTAATGAACGAATATTTTATAAAAATAATTGTTTTCTTCATAAATTCTAAAAATAAAAAAATAAATTTAAATATCTTAATGTTTACTTATTAATAATTTGGAATATTTCATAATCTTCTATAGTAAATGTAACTTCATTATCTCTTAACATTTTTTCATAAGAACGTTTCTTACTACCACAATGATCATAATCTGTTAGTTCATTAGATGACTCGGCCCAAATATCAATTGCAAAACATGTTCCACAATTCTTGTAATATAATAATGCACAATCTGTCATTTCAACATTACTTAGAATCGCATCCTTGATAAAGTTATCCTTATTTTTAAAAGAAATTGTAAAACTATCATTAGCTTTACTCCATCCACCAGTTGATCTCCATATTAGAGGATTATATCCACCAATTATTTCTTCTGTTCCTTTTATTTTAATGAAGGTGACTGTCATAGGTTTATTATCGCATAATGTGTGAAACTTTTTAGGAGTAAATCCATCTCGACTCCCTCTTAATAGTAATTCAAATTTATATGGTAAATATAAATCTTTATTAACATTCACTTTATCTATCCACTTTGAAATTAAGGAAGCAATATGTATATTAATAATTTTTGAATCCAAATTCCTAACTCTAGGAGGTAAAATATTATGGGATATTTGAGCTTCTGGATCCAGGTGGTATGCTAATAAATTTTCATAAAGTTGATGTTTCAAAATCCTTTTATATGGACGAACTC